TTTGTGGATTGATCGCGTAATTCTCGCGTATAACTTATCGCGTGGTCAGGCATTTTTGGGGTTCGTGTATACGAGATCGATTCTCTCACTTTACGATAAACAAGTGCTACAGTTAAATCATTTCAATTTCACTTCTCACACTATGTAGATAGCAGTGTGGGGTCTTTCAATGGAACCAGTCGGAGGCATTTGGCTACTAATAAACATGGCATAACCCGTTCGGCATTCCTATCTTTGGCACCATCTCCGCGCTTACGTATACCCAAAACCTGATCTTCTCCTTTTACAACTCGCAGTGCATTCGCAAGGAGAACTTGGTTATACGCACATAACATTTACAAGTTGCATCTAAGCAGCTGAATTGGAACAGATGCTGCTAAGCCTGATGAAGATGATGACGTGCTTAAAAAACCGCTCAAAGATGAAACAAATACCGGTTAAAAAAAAAAAAGTTATTGCTTGAATAAATGGATGAGACAAACCTGTAGTACGTCCTCGTCCCAAGCCGAAAGAATGGCCAAAACGCCGGCAATGGCTCCAGCAATAAATGCGACATTCTTAGCAAATATCTCCGTTAATGCCGAGGTGAACTGGTTCAAGTAAGCATTTGCATGAACATGCGATCTATTTAGACGTGCCGGTGAGCTCATGATTGAGCTCATTGAAATGCCTCACGCGGTATCTTAAAAGATAACAACTCTTGGTAAACGTCATAGATGATCTGTGGCAGCTATACCTACTTAACTAGTGAAAAAGAGACATGTGAACACTTACCTTCCGTAGTTCGAATATCTGCGCATTCCTAGAGCATCACGACGCCGTTTTATTAGTTCGGATAACGTGAAGAAAGCATATAAAATTTGATAGAGAAATATCAATGGGAAGAAGATCAAATTCAGAAACCCATACATGGCGACCTTGAACAAGAGCGTAACGGATTATCAACATTTGGTCGAGTTTTGCGAAGGCAAGAATATGGAAAGCAAAACAGTGACTTATATGTATGTACTCACATCTTTTTCCATTTGCCTTGTTAACAGCTCGAGATTATCCAAATCTTTGTATTCATCCTTCAAATATGGTCCAGCCCACGGAGACGTAGACCTATAGCGGTAACTGTGCTCATTCTACTCGTTTGTCTCTAAGCAGGAAGTATCACAGGAATAGAAATTACCCGAAAAATAAAATTCGCCGCAAATTTGACTTCAGTCCATTTGGTAGATAGGGCACGGGACCAATAAAAGGCACATTGAGGACCGGTGGAAGTACTCGCTGAAC